TTCTCCTGGTCCTGCTGATGTACAGTTCCTGGACAGAGGGCAGTTGGGCACCAATGATTGTTCCTGCTGTTTTAATAATACAGTTAAAAAATAATACAGTTAATAATACTGTTTTAAAAATCTGTTAAACCTGTCTGATAATTTCCTGGTTGATTAAGCGGCTGAGGGCATTGTTAATCACTTTCAGCTGTACTGGTGTTAGTGGACGTAACGACAGGTGCACTAAAGTGGCAACAATTACAAAACCCTCAAAACAGGACTGGTTCAACATGTAGAGGTCATTTCAAGTTTCTCCCTCTGGGTCTGTTTCGGCTGGTTTTCCACTCGTGCTGGTTTTGGCTCTCTGCTGGCGGTATGAGGCGATGCCTTAACCCTACAGAAGGTGCACAGGTTGTCCAACTTCTCCAGGATGGCACATCCACACGTGCTGCAGCAAGAAGGTTTCATGTGTCTCCCAGCACAATCTCCAGAACATGGAGGAGATTTCAGGAGACTGGCGGTTATTCTCTGAGAGCTGGCCAGGGCCGTAGAAGGTCCACAACCCATCAGCAGGACCGATCCTTTGTGCAAGGCGGAACAGGCTGAGCACTGCTCGTGCCCTACAGACTGACCTCCAGAGGGCCACTGGTGTGAACGTCTCCACCCAAACAATCAGGAACAGACTTCATGAAGATGGTTGAGGGCCCGCCGTCCTGTAGTGGGCCCTGTGTCGCTGCCCAGCACCGTAGAGCTCGACTGGCATTTGCTCAAGAACACCAGAATTGGCAAGTCCGCCACTGGCGCCCTGTACTTTTTACAGACGAGAGCAGGTTCACCCTGAGCACCTGTGATAGACGTGGAAGAGTCTGGAGAAGACAAGGAGAACGTTATGCTGCCTGCAACGTCGTTCAACATGACAGGTCTGGTGGTGGGTCAGTGATGGTCTGGGGAGGCGTATCCATGGAGGGACGCACAGACCTCTAAATGGTGCCCTGACTGCCATAAGGTATGGAGATGAACCCTTTGTCAGACCCTACGCTGATGCAGCAGGTCCTGGTTTTCTCCTAATGCAGGACGATGCCCGGCCTCATGTGGCAAGAGTATGCAGGCGGTACCTGCAGGATGAAGGAACTGAAACAACTGAATGGCCTTCACGATCCCCTGACTTAAGCCCAATAGAACATCTGTGGGACATTATGTTTCGGTCCATTAGGCGGCGCCAGGTTGCTCCTCAGACTGTACAAGAGCTCAGGGACGCCCCCACACAGATCTGGGAGGAAATGCCACAAGACATCATCCGTTGTCTCATTAGGAGCCCCGATGTTGTCAAGCATGCACACAAGCTCCTGGGGGCCACACAAGATACTGAAAAGTAAATTTGAGTTGCAGAAATTAAGTTTTTGAAATAATGGACTAGCCTGCCACGTCTTCATTTTACTCCGATTTTAGGGTGTCTACACAACTGAGCCCTCTGTAGGCTGATAACTTCTATTTTCATTAAAATACTTGGCATCCTTTTGTTCCTAACACATTGCCCTGTCCTTATTTGTATAGATATCCAACTTCATATTGAGATCTGGTGTATCTAATGTGTTTCTTTAGTGTTCCTTTAATTTTTGTGAGCAGTATATTTGACAAAGGTCAACGCTGGGGTGGACAGGTCAAAATGCCAATTTGGTAGAGCTTAAATAACTTGTCCAAGGCACATGTCATCCCATCATTTACCAGAAGGGTCACCATCCTGGCAGTGATGATATACAGATTAGTTGAGCTCTTCAAGTTGCTGACACAGATCTTCTGTGATTAGGTCCCTCATGTCTCAGAGTTTATGCAGAGTGGTGGTTCCTGCCTGCAAGACAAGGCAAAAAATATGAATAATAAGAGATCAAAAGCAACAAAGTAACTGGTAATGTTACACCACATGGCTTAGGCGGTATTGCCGTATACAGCCAGTACTGAGACATAGCAATGGTGTCAGTTCCAGTACCATCATGAAAAAGACAGTGCATGCAGGAGACAAGGATTAGAAAAAATGAAAGCCAAAATAAATAAAAAAGGTAAATAAAAGTTATTTCATCTAGAAAACAGAAGCATGGTTGAATTTTTGGTTTTAATTAAATAGTTAAAAATGTTTTTGTCCAACTTTGGGAGACTTTCCATAACGTTTATGAATGTGATGTCACCATGTGACAGCACGGAGGACAGCGGGCCGAGAGAAAAATGGCAGCTCGCGCTTTAGCTGACTGGTGTCTAAAAACAACACAACGTCTGCAGTTTAGGAGGATTCTGCTGGTTCGAATCAAACTTAGAGGGCAGGAAAACACTGATTAGGTCATTTGTGTGAACAAAAGATGACCACGAAAGATGCACGCTCCGTCAGAACCACAGAGGAGTGAACCACAGCTGAAATAGCACCTTTCTATTAGGAGCCTGTTATTAAAAGACAACAATGCACGTTTCTGGTGAACAATGAGCTGTCAGCCTTCCCCAGATGCCGCAACTAGCACCAAAGTACCCGTGTGTCGTGCTCATTGAAGCGGGTTTTCAGCATTTGGAGGTTGAAGCCGAAAAAGCTGCTTTTTTAGGCGCAAAATCTTTTTATAAGCTGCGTTTAAAAAAAAAGGTGTTAATGGTATGTGTGTTATGTTGTTGTTTTAGTGTTTGTTATTCAGTTTCGTAATGGAGATTGTCCAAACAGCTTGGTAATTCCATTTGAGGCCTACGTCATCGTTTTTAAAGGGACTTTTCAGACTTTTGAATTTTTATGCTCGCGATTGCCCCCTCAGGCCAAAAGCGTAACGGCAGCTTCAATAGTAGGCTCGTGCACGAGGCGCGCATGCTGTACGTGCACACTCCTTAACGAAAATAACAGCTGAGACAGTCCCGTGTGTGTGTGTGTGTGTGTGTGTGGCCCGGAGGACAGAGGACAGGAGAACGCACAGCTAATTAATTAAATACTTTGGTTCTGTACCTTTCTCTTCAGCACAGCCGACAAAGGTTTATGATGGGTCAGTCCTCCTGCATGCTCAGATCATTCCCTTCCCTTGCTTGAAAAATTGTTCCTAAATGAAAGTTGAACCCACATCTTTTTTATCTGTGAATTCAATGCCGTTCGGCGAGTCTCAAATAAAAATTTGGGTGTCTTACTGTAAAAAAATACCATTAATGTAAAAAATAAACTCTAAATAAACTATGTTCACATCCATCATCCATCCAGCTTGGTCTTCCATCACCTCCCTCCATTGGTAGCCACGGTTTTCTGTTTTGGAATGATGCTGACTTCCCACCGCCTGATTACCAGTACTTTATTCCAAACTGAATATCCAGCTTAAATAAAGAGAAATAATTTTAAACTACTATAAATCAGCAGTGTTATTGATGATATCAGACATCCACTTTATTGAATGAAGGAAAATCATGAAGCCTACCTGACTTGGCATGTCCAGAAAATGTGGATATTCATTAAAGTTGTCAGCCATTGGGCTGCTCTGCTCCTGTGTTAATGTCTTTCATTAAAATGTTCAGTGGTACTGGAAATGCTAATAACATTTAATTTCTACTACTATAATGGAATGGTTACATATCTATTATTTACATGTTAGCAATAATCTGTTTTAAATTATTTTTGTGGATTAAATGGTACAGTGACTTGCCATACTCCTGCTGCAGCGTATGGAGCAGACTTGAACCAGCAACCTGGCGGCTGCGGTTTTGCTACATAGCGCTGCAGACAGCTAAGAATAAACAGGATGATTGGGACTTTTTTCCGCTTGTAGAGTTTAGATTTTCTTAGTTTCACAACCATCATTTTTTTCAGATTCCCGCTAGCATTAGCTAATCTGCTCGTTTCACTTTTCATCCCAAACTTTGGACCGTTTCTGCCTTTGCGTCTTTGTTGGTTTCGCTGTTTTCCTCCACGGCACCTATTAGCACATCGCGCACCAGTAAAAGTCCTCTTCCTTACGCAATAACAAGCTCCTTACCTTTGTTCAATAAAGTTTTGGGGGAAAAGTAACTTGAAATGATGTCGCACGTGTGCTACGTCTAAAAATAGTTGATCACATAGAGAGTCTTTTTTTTCATCGCACAACATATGTTGCACTGTAATTAAAGTAACAGCAAAAAAAAGAGGAGTTTGCTGACCCGATATATCGAATCGAATCAAATCGTGATAATTGATTCTAATCGTTGAGAATCAGAATCAAATCGATTCTGTAAATTTGAATCGATGCCCAGCTCTAACCAAAAGTCATAGCCAGCAAAAGCAGAATGCTTTGATACCAAATTTGCTTTAATAGCTGAAGAATAGCGGAAGTAGTTCAGTGCCAAAAATGCTCAACAGCATTAAAACAATAAACATTTGAAATATATCAGTCTGTTTGTAATGAATGACTCTAATATTTCACTTTTAAATGGAATTACTGAAAAAATGAACTTTTTCAGTATATTCTAATTTTATGACCAGCATCTGTGTGTAATATACTTGCTGTACTTATATTTGTGACATTGCCCATCGAGTCGGCTTCCTCCCACAGTCCAAAAACATGAGTGTCAAGTTAATTGGCCATAGATGTGTGTGTGTGTGCAGGTGTGTGTGTGTGTGTGTGTGTGTGTGTGTGTGTGTGCTTGATGGTTTGTCCTGTGTGTCTCTGTGTTGCCCTGCAATGGACTAGCAACCTGCCCCGCCTGCATGCTTGGAGACTGCTCGAGATAGGCACCAGCCCCCCCGCTACCCTGCGAGGATAAGCGGGTATAGGAAATGGATGGATGACATTACTATGTGCATTTTGTAAAAAATAGTCATTAAGGAGATTTGGAAAGTCATTGAAAATACCGACAAAGTCACTGAGCTGGAAACATTGTTAACAGTATTAAAAGTAGTTCGCAGAGGAGCAGCAAATTAGTAAATGACTGCCTTTCAGTCTAGAGATACATGCACACAATTCTCTAAACAAACAGAAAAGCCAATATTCCTTGATAAATAACGGAGCTCATTCTTTTCTGTGTTTCTGTGTGTTTAGGATGATGAAGTGGTCCTGCAATGTTCAGCTACGATCCAAAAGGAGCAACAGAAACTCTGTCTGGCAGCTGAAGGCTTCGGAAACAGACTCTGCTTTCTAGAGTCTATCTCTAACTCAAAGGTGCAGTACGTGGGCTCCTGGAGTACGACGGCACAGTTTTTACTTATTTTAACCACAATCTATTATGACTCACTTACATAAATGATTCAACTCAACATGTGTCAAACTGACCGAGTCAGTAATCACTGGTAGCCATCCTGTTCCAATAAGTAATCAGCTGTAACTTAAATGTAATGTAACTTTAGCAATCTGATGATGGACTTAGTTCAGTAAAACTTAAAAATTCCCAACAACTCCAGGAAACAGTTCATTGATTCCACAAGGTTTACTGAGAATCATGTAAAACTGTAACTAACACTATAGAAAAACACTTACGAGGAAATCACAACATCTGTAAAGATTAAGTATTACCTCAAAGTTACATGCTGAAGAGTACTTACAGGAGCTGATGACTGGAAAAGCCCACACATTTTGATAGCATAACCTCATCTTGTTTTTAGTTATCTCACTTCTGGTCCCCTAACATACTTGAGCCCTTGTTCCATTAGTACCCTTTTGACTCGCACTAATCCGTGTGATTGGAGTGTGCTTCCTTTAGTACACAGCAAAACTAATACTGTATCTTACTCAGTTTAATCTGTGTAAGATTTTTACACGTAAACATCTTGAGTTGATTTAAAAGCACTGAAATTGGGTGTATCAAATATACCAATATTAAGTAAGTTTAAGTAGTATTTGCAATCAGAATGAATAATCTTGTCACAAATACCATAAATATTGAGTAAATGTTACTATGAACACTGTTTAAAACAGCTCAAAAACATGAGTAGAAGTAACCAAAGAAGATAAGTAAATAATAATAAATAATAATCGAAGACACATGTTAATACTTCATGTTACTTAAAGGTTGAATATTAAAGGTTGAACAGGAACACCAGAGAGACATCTAGTGGGTGGAGATTGTAGTTACAACAATACAACAGGGTTTCCAGGTGTTGGGATGCAAGGATTGCTGACAATATGTGACGTGACCAGCCAGCAGCATTTCCAGGGACCGATCCGCACAGGGTAAGGACTCATTTTCACTAATACGTTTATTTTACAACAGTATTTGATTTTAGCCTTTCTATTATCTATTAGCTGCATACTGTAGATAGTCTTATTTTGTCTTGTTATCAGTAGCCTGCTAAGATGGTGCGTTGTCATGCATGAAGATTATTTTATTACGAAAGGCACAGTTCTTCCTTCTGTACCAGGGAAGAAAGTGGTCAGTCAGAAACTCAACATCATTTGCCAAGGTCATCGTCACACCTTCAGGGACCCCAAAGGGGCTGACCAGCTCTCTTCCTGTGATTCTGGCCCAAAACATGACTCCACCATCTCCTTGCTAGGGTCACAGCCTTGTTGGAACACTGTGGCCGTCCACCAACCATCCACTACTCCATCCATCTAGACCATCCATGGTCGCACAACACTCAACAGTGAAGAGGGCTGTTTGAAAGTTAGTCTTCAGATATTTCTCTGCCAACTGCAGTCGTTTCTGCTTGAGAGCACTGTTTAGTGGTGGCTGAACAGTAGGTTTACGCACAGGTGCAAGCCTCTGGAGGACTCTAATTGATGTCCGTGGGACTCCAGAGGCAGCAGCGGCTTCAGATATCCGTTTGCTGCTACATAATGGCATTTTAGCAGCTGCTCTCTTGATCGGATGCATGGATCTGGCAGAAATCTTCCTCAGTTTGCCTTTATCTCCACAAACCCGTCTGCGCTCTGAATCAGCCACAAATCTCTTGACAGTGCGATGATCACGCGTACTTTTTTGTGAAATGTATGATGTTGTCACACCTCGTCCAAGGCACTGAACTATTTCACACTTTTCGGCAGCAGAGAGGTCCTTTTGCTTCCCCATATTGGTTGCTAACTGTGGTCTGCTTAATAATGTGGAACGTCCTTCTTCAGCAGTTTGTCGTTTAATTGGGCACACCTACTGAACTAATTATCACAGGTGTCTGAGATTTCTGAGCCCAGATACACAATGCCACCCACGAGTTAACCCGAAAACCAAAAAACTGAATCTTTGTGACGCTTAAATAGAACTGCATAACAATTTGGATCAGGGCTTAATAATAATGATAATTGTAGCTCATGCAGAGGCACAGAGAGCGGCAGTTAGGATGGAAGAGAATAGGACTGAGACAGGTTGGTATAAAGCTATCAGTGTAAAAAGTTAGTATAAAATGTATTATATATGTGTATATATATCTTTTTGCTTGTTAAGCTAGTGATTGGATTCGTACTTGTCAAAGGGGATGTACTCATTCATGCTAAGCACTGTACATTTTACCTTTAATGTTCATATAAAAACTTAAAGGTAACAGCTATCAGATTCTTAATCCAGTTACAGGAATACAACCTGGCCAAGTCATGGACAGAAGAAATTCGTTTCTTCATGTCTGTATGTTCAGTGGTGAAATTGAAAGACTTGTTTGCATTGAAATCGCTTTTTTCTGTGCCATCTGCTTCATCAGGAACATCTTCAGACGCCCACGCTTGAGGGGTACAGGGAGCTTGGAACAGTGAGCACAGGCTGTTTTTGATACCCTCAGGATGAACCAAGCCCAGAATGGAGCCCTTCAACCTGCTGACCTTCCTGGGGTGCCATGCGGCAAACGTGGAAATGGAAGAGACATGCCCACACTCTGGGAGGAGGTTTTTTGTGGCAAGGAACCCAATCACTGTGTCTGCCAACTGCCACACTTCACCTTTTACTATTCAGATGAAGGAAACGTGAGTTCACAGGCAGTACCGGGAGAACCTGATGGTGGTCAGGCCTGCCAGAGACCCAGGAGATGGCAGCTGGGAGGACCGCAATGCTGCCTCCAGTCATTTCATCTCTTGGCAGCATGGTGCTCGTGGGCGTGGTCGTCCCTAGCTGCTGTGTGTGGGTGATCACGGACTGTTATCCATATTCTTACGGACAAGTTTTGTTTCTGGTCGCTAACGTTACCCTCACTGTGTGTTGCTATGCCTTATACCATGTGTGTGGATAGTGCTGTACTGTCAGGAAATAACTTCTACGTAATTATCTGGAAATACCGTATTGACTTGAATATAGCACGACCCCGATTATAAGACAGCTCCACATTTTAAAATGATTTTCAATGGAAAAATACCTCGTCTTTTTTTCGGGTCAGTGTGGTAAGTTGTGTATAAATAATAATAATAATTACATTCTTTTCCTGTTTTTGTGTTAATTAAAGAGGAAATGATCTAAAGTGTCAAGCATTGTTTTACTCAACCCAAGGTAGAACATCGCCGTCACGTATCGTACCAAGCCTGGCTTTGGCCACATTCTCAACAGGTAACATAACAAGTTATCAGTAAACACTCAGTTAAGGTTTGTTAACAAGTAGTTGTTTCTGAACATCGTGTTTCTGGCCTTTCTTGCAGTTGGAAAGTGCTAGAGTACAAGAAAAGCTTTGCAGCGTAGGACATAGGTCGTCACACGGAAGTTCTTCCGCCTGGATTTTTGTGTGCTTCATCAGCGTTCCACATCTTAACGGTCTGGTCTCCAAACCAGAAAAACACTCTGCTCCTAACCGTGCCATCTGTGAAGAGAGTCAAAATGAGACTATTTTCTCTTCTAATAAAGTTAGTCTTATTCGGTTTCGTTAAATGAATTCTTTACGGAGAACACCTACCATGTACCACCTACCGTCTATGGTAGGTGGAGAGCACGCAGGATTTGTAGAAAATGTTGTTTTATGTGACGTTTTCTATGTGGGTACTTTGAATAACTTGCCAGTACTTAATAAATGTAAAACATAAAATCCCATAAAAGTATGGATCATCAATGTTACTGAACCTTTTATATTCAGTTGATGATGAATCAGTCACCAGCAGGAGAACAAAACACCCGGAGAACACACCAGGAGATCACACCTGGTTTGAAGCAAACAAATCTTTATTTTCTCTTTTGTCTCAAAAAAACAAAATAAAAGAACAAAAAGGCAGGTAAGAATCTCCAATAGTCCCAACTTCAAAATATCTAAAAAAAAAAAAAAAAAAAAACTGGGAGCAAAAGCAGAGAAGTTGGAAGAAAAAGAGCAACCCAGGGTGAAGGTGACGACAGAGTCAGTCAGCGTTTGGTGACGGAGCGGTTGAGCTAACTTACCTGAGAGATAAGCTACCACCAAAGCGAGAAGAGGTGGTTGAATGACGCGTATTTTGGGATGCTTGCTACTTATAGTAGCAGGTGATGTGAGCGTCACAATCACTGGCCAATCAGGATTGGCCTGTTGAGGAAAGTTCTTCTGAGGAATCCGTGGAGGAGCTTATCCCATAGTGAGACATCGAAACGAATGTTAAGAAAGAAATCTGCTCCCTGCTTTAAGCAATCTCACCTCTGGTTTCCCAGCATGCACTGGTGCAATAATCATATGGTGTCAAAATGAGTTCAAATCCCCTTCGCCCATGACACGAAGCAGGAAGACACGCAGACACGCAGACACGAGCAACGACCTTTTCGGATTTTTCTGCTTAAGAGCTAATATATAATCAGAAGTGTGATTTTTTAATGTTTTAATCAAGTTCAATAATTAAATAATCAACCTGGGTTATCCTCAGCAGGCTTAAGGGATTCGGACCCAGGAGACGGAGAGCTGGTCTCGTGTGATCTCCAGTGAGATCGCGAGCGCGGGATTCAACAATGATTGCCGAGTAAACAGCTCTAAAGGACCTAATGACATGATGTAAAAGTAAAAAACACACTTTTAAACAGCATCATGTGACCACCTTTTCTGGACTTGCTCTTTGATGAGGAAATGCTAGATGGTTCTGCCTTATGTTTCCCTGACCTTTACAACCACAGGCTCAAGGTTTCTTCTTGCCTTCAATGAATTAAGGCCATGAAGTCTTTTGTGCGTTCATACTGCTTTTGTACGTAATCCATTTATTTGTTTATCTAACATGTTTCAGCCCTAGCCATGATGGCGTCGTCCGGCAGAGGACGGTGTCGCCCTCTACTGATGACAGTGGACTGCGTCATCAGCAAGAACTGTTTAACGGCAAGTCATACATGTTGTATTCTTTCTTTTCCAGAATGTGCCTCCAGATTTATCCATCTGCCTTTTTGTGCTGGAGCAGTCGCTGTCAGTACGAGCCCTTCAGGAGATGCTGGCCAACACGGAGGAGAAGTCTGAAGGGGTGAGGGTCAACAATCAGTCAGTCGATTGGTTCTTTTTGGAGCAATGTGGGGATACCTCCTGAAATACAGAGACAAGGAGAAAAAGCTTAAGTTATTCAGCTTAATGGTCTTCTCATCTTCATTTCTGAGGTTGCTTTTCCACAGGCATCTCCAGGAGATTTATAGATGCAAATGTGCTGTGAGATGCAAAAGTTTGGGCAATCCTGTCAATCTTTGTGGTTTTCCTGTATAAATCGTTTGTTGTTACGTACAGTACACATATCGTATAGGAGACACACAGTGGTTTTTGAGAAGTCAAACAAAGTTTATAGGATTTACAAAAAGTGTGCAATAGTTTAAACAAAGTTAGGCGGGTGCAAAATTTTGGGCACGACAAAAAATAAATTTATACATTATTTAGTCTATCCTCCTTTTGCAGAAATAACAGCCTCTAACTGCTAAAGCTTCAAGAGTCTGGATTCTGGTTGAAGGTATTTTGGACCATTCTTCTTTTCAAAACATCTCTAGTTCAGTCATAGCCTGGCAAGCCAGACTAAATAAATGTATTATTTAGCCGCTCCAGTCACCGCGTCTCGTCATCGCCGATGACGAGACGCGGTGACTGGAGCGGCTCACCCCGGGTTTCCACGGGAGCCGTCAGCAGCACGTTACTGCAGCAGCACGTCTTGCTCGCGTAAGCTGCTGCTTGGCCCTTCCCACGAGACGCGAAGCAGCAGAGGAGCGGCTGTCACCGACCGAGCACGAAGTCACACGAGTGACTTCGTCAGTAAACACAACAACAAGCAGGAGAAAACTACAACATGGTTTGTGTTTTATGTTCTGTCCGTTTTATAATCGCCAATACGGACCTGAAAAACAAAGGAGACTGCTAGCTAGGTGATAACTTCTCACGGGGCCGCACAGTTAGTAACTTTTTTAAAGTAAAGCAACCGGAAGGCAGTACGTTCTTTATTCTGAAAATCTCGGGAGCTTCTCTCCATTTCCGCGTCCGATTTCCTGTCTTTCCTTCCCCAAAAATGTCGAACTTGACCCGTTTCAGAGGCGTCGCGCGTAGAAAATAGAACCGGCGCGTAAAGGCCGCGACATGCTGCTCCTGAGACGCGGCCGACTCGCGCTGCTGACGGCTGCGGTGGAAAAGGTTCTGTTGACCACAGCGGTTCCTGTCAGCAGCTATGACGTGCTGCTGACGGCTCCGGTGGAAAGCCGGGGTCATGGAGCTGTGCCACACACACACACACACACACACACAAACACACACACACACACACACACACACACACACACACACACACACACATACTGATTCGACAAGCGCACGCTGCGCCGCACCGCGCCGCGCCGCGCCGTGCCGTCAGACTGAAGGCAGAGATGAGCGCTGCCTCCTCTGTGATAAAAACTTTTAAGAGGTTTTATAACAACATTTTTCATTCAATGTCATATTAAGATATTAGCTTCTAGTTTGGGATGACGTATGAAATTCGAGTCCGCTCCAGCCAGTGACTCCTCATGAACCTGACTACAACTCATGTTACTGCAGCATTTGTTGTTCCAGTCCGCGTGGCAGGTTTAGGAATCCTATGTTTTCCCTTCTCAGAAATCCCTGTGTGTCTCCTATATTATATGTTTTACTGAATTTTTTATTGTAACAACCGTCGATTTATACGGAAAAATCACAAAGACTAACAAGGCTGCTCAAACTTTCACATCCCGCTGTATGTGTGGTGCAAGTTTAGACAACAAATATTATGGGAACAGTCAAGTTGTTGTCGAGTAAACAGGCTGGAAGTAACTAAGTACTTATTTATTTACTTTATTAAGTAGCTTTTTCAGGTTTCTGTACATGAATATTTATTTTTCTGACAATATTTTTACTTATGCTCCCAAGATTTGAACAGAAATATCGGTACTTTCTATTTTTTACATTTTCAAAATGATCTTGTTACTGCATGTTCTCCATCATGGCTACATCAATGACGACACAATGACTATGCAATGACACAAATTTATACATGTGATACCATTCAGATCACCTTCAACACTCAGTCACACACCCAGGGCCGTTTCAAGGCCTTTTGGGGGCCAAGGCAATATGGAACACCCCCCATAACCCGTACATAACAGACATGCCACCATTACATTGTTAGCAGCAGAAATTAAATGTTATTAGCATTTCCAACACAAATGCATGTTAATGAAATGCATTATATGTTACTGGATATATGTATGTGTTATTTAGACTAAGATGAGTTTTATTAATAAAAACCTAACATGTTACTGAAATGTAGGTCACATATTTAAAAATATTTTTAACTATAAATATCAGATGGGAAAAGGGAACTAAACACTAATCTAATGCATATTATTGAGCCTTTCATCATATTTTGCCTTTTAAAAAGTAAGGCAGTTGAATGCACAGAGTATGCATGTGCTGGCGCATGGTCAGGATGGCCCCACCTCTGCCTCAGTTTGAGCCAGGAAAAACACTGCGAATGGTATTAGTCTCCGAGAACAACGTAAGGAACCTCGGTGTTATCTTTGACCAGGACATGTCACTCAAATCCCAGGTTAAACAGGTTTGTAGGATTTCCTTTTTCCACCTTCGGAATATTGCTAAGATTGGAAGCATACTTTCCAGGAGTGATGCTGAAAAACTAGTTCATGCATTTATTACATCAAGACTGGATTACTGTAATCCATTACTCTCAGGAAGTCCACAGAATGTAGTTAAAAGTCTTCAGCTTGTCCAAAATGCTGCAGCTAGAGTTCTGATGAGAATTAAAAAGAGAGATCATATCTCTCCTGTCTTAGCTTCCCTACATTGGCTACCTGTTAAATTCAGAATAGATTTTAAGATCCTTCTTCTCACATATAAAGCTCTTAATAATCAAGCTCCATCATACATCAGTGATCTGATTGTTCCATTCGTTCCTAACGGAGCACTTCGCTCTCAGACTGCAGGTTTACTGGTGGTTCCCAGAATATCTAAACTTAGGATGGGAGGCAGATCTTTTAGTTATCAGGCTCCTCTCTTTTGGAACCAGCTCCCAGCTTTAGTGCGTGAGGCAGACACCTTGTCTACTTTTAAGACTCTTTTTTGATACGTCTAATGGTTAAATTCTGATGCTAGCCCAGGTTTGGATGAGTGGGGGAGTAAATAGAGGTGGAGTGTACAGCAGGGATTATAGTCGTAAAGACAGTTCCCTTACTAATTAGAATATCTACTAAGAAATCACAATGTAGCCATGAAAACACTATTTGCGCTATATGCTGTGTGTGTGTGTGTGTGTGTGTGCTCTTTCTTCTCAATCATTAGTGAGTTGTGAGTCAGTGACTTTGTGAAATCGGCTGGGTTCCTCATATAGGAAAATTGTAATTAATTGGCTTAAGGAACTGAACTCAATTGAAATGTTTTACTTTGTGAAGTGCCACGAGATGACTCTTGTTGTTATTTAACACTAAATAAATAAATTGAATTGCCAAAGACACTGTTGTACATGTGTTAGGTCGAACCGTTTCATTTCCAGGCTGACAAAAAAAGTCATATTTAAGACAAATTACATCTTAACAGTGCCAGTGATAAATTTGATCATATATTGTTCCTACTTTTGCTCTTGAAGGTTTAAAGTAGCATGATCAGACTCCTTTAAAAGACCCAACTGTCTACCAACAAAGACCAATAATTATTGTTTAAAGTTTACACAACATACAAAACTCATTTTTTACTCTGTCTTGTTCTTTTATCGGTGCGTATACTGCCTCAATAAACAATTCAGGGGTCATTAGCCTCTTAGAGCTGTTTCAAAATGTCCCTTTTTGTGATGTCACAATAAGGTAAATTAGTGTAGAAACTCCCCTTAACTGTTGTTGCATAGGGAGCCCTCTGCTCTGGATATGGCAGCATCAACTTATTTGCATGAAAGTGATAGAGCCCTGAAACGGTTCATTCTGGAAGGGACTGAAAATGTCAAGAATAAAGCTACTGAGATCTATTTAGTGCAAAGAGCTTAATGAATTTGTTTTTTCAGATTATGGTGACAAAATTAATTCATGCATCACTAGTGCAGCCATTAAAAACGTTTCTGTAAGGGACAGCAGTAGCTTAGCAGGTATAGCGGCTTGTCCAGTAATCGGAAGGTTGCAGGTTCGATTCCAGCTCCGACCAGAGGAAGCTGCTGTTGTGTCCTTGGGCCTTGGCTTCTGGTGGTGGTCGGAGGTACCGGTGGTGCAAGTGGGCAGGCCTCGCCTCTGTCAGTGTGCACCAGGGCAGCTGTGGCTACGTCGTAGTTCATCCTCACCAGTGTGTGACTGATTGTGTTGTGAAGCACCTTGGGGGGTTGTAGAACCCTAAGAACGTGCTATCCAAATACAGACATTTACCATCCACAAGCTTGTCTTTGGCTTTGACATTTGGTCGGATGACAGAGTTAGATAAGTGGGGCTCAGTCATTCTCCTGACCTGGCTGTTCTCCTTTAGCTTTAGCTTAGCATAAAACACAGTAAGTGAATGGATCTTTCCCACTTATTTAACTCTGGGAAAAATGTCAATAGACCAAAAATCATTTTTAGTGGGATATCCCTTTACGAATGAAACAACTAAGTGAATATATTTAACTGAAAATGATTGCAGTAAATAAGCAATAATAAGCCCATTCTGCTCTTATTATTAAAATCATTTGACGTGAAAGTACATTTCAAAGGCTGGCATGAAAATTAGACTGTGTACATTTACTTTGAAGTTTACTTGCTATAGTTATTGTTACATTATGATAATACATTTTTTGTGATTTTATTCTCTTGTTTTCTGTGTCTCAGACTGCTCAGAGTGGTGGACATCGCACCCTGCTGTATGGACATGCTGTCTTACTGCGACACTCCTACAGTGGAATGGTCAGTGGAAACACTCATCTACAACATTTAATATATATAATTAAAAGAAATGAGGTTCTCTGAAGCCGGAAGCGTTGCCATGGTGATGTTGCGTCCGCTCCTCTGCCTTGCAGCCACAGATCTCCATCTCTGGGACGTTAGCTTCATAAGTTGCTTACCTGATTGACTGTGAAGCCGGGAACAGGTTCACAGCACGGAGGCGCAGCTGGTCGTTTCACAGAGCTTCATTTGAGCCGGTCTTATTCTGAAAGGATCCGGCAACTCAATTGTTAAGCTAACGTTTTAGCTAGCAAGCCTTTAGTTTAGCGCCAATGTTAGAAGTACAAAACAAGGAAATCAAAGGCAGAAATGACCGAATGCAGTTTAGAACTCCCTTGGATTACCTTTTTAAACATTCACTGTGCTGCAACGGGATTCTGGGTGGTTTCAGTTCAGTTCGATGTGCCTTCTCTGCATCCCAAAATGTCCCTGCTGAGCTGAAGAAACACATAACCTCGGTGAGTACAGCCCAGTGTGTGTGTGTGTGTGTGTGTGTGTTCGTCCGAACTGAGTTCAATAACTACATCAATCAACCGTGGCCATTAAATTAGGGTGACCATGTCTACTTATCACCCTCTGTCTGGGGGATTCCTACATTGATCAAAATGTCTGGTTCTATTTCGTACAGCTCCGCCCCTTAAGCCATCTCCCATTGGATTAATCCCATCCCCTTAACCAATCATTGAAGGGCTAAGGGACGACGCGCTAACAAGGAACACACTTCCTTCACTAAGCTGTTGGCAGTAAAACTCTTACGCCAGCGTACCATCAGTTTTCATTTATGTGCATCCAGGTGATTGGTTCACCTGCATCGATCTGAGAGATGCCTACTTTCACATTCCGGTGATCCCAGAACCCAGGAGATTCCTGCATTTCTCCTTCATCGGAGCTCAGTACCAGTACAACATACTTCCTTTTCGGGTACTCCCTTGCACCATGTGCCTCAAGGTGGCGCTCAAACCCCTACACACCAAGGGCATGAGACTCCTCTTTCTAGATGATCTCCTGCTCCTGACCTGCCCCAGGTCCGATGCAGACTCGCAGACGCTGGCAGAACATCGGGTTTGGGTTCTCCATAAACAGGGAGAAAAGTTTGGTGACTCCTTCTCAGGTGATCACTTTCTTGGGAGTGGAACTGAACTCCGAGATCAAGAAAAAGCACAGTCCCAAATTATGGACTTAACTGGGATGTTCAGGCACATGCGCTTACATCGCTCCGTGACAGCTCTGACAGTCCTTAGATTGAGGGGCGTGATGAGACGCATGCAGCGTTGGTTCAGACGTCTCAAGGTTCGCCCGATCCACCACAAGAGTCGTATGTTGCCCTTTTCTCCCTCGGTGAGGAGGGATCTGCAACATTGGGGAGTCCCCAGACCCTGAGAAGAGGAATCTTGCTTGGCTGCGTGGCCTCCCATGTCTCAATCTTTACAGACGCATTTCTGTCAGGATGGGCGGGAGCTACATGCTTGTCCGATTCAGTGGGCGACAGCTGGCCTCCATGAATTCATGCACACCTAAATGTGTTAGAAGTCCTGATGATCCACAAAGTGATTCTCCACTCTGCGCCTCTTCTCCAATCCGCAATGTTGTTCTTCACTCGGACAACCAAGTCACCAGGGTGGGGTTCGCTCAGCTGCGCTTCTGAGGGTAGCCAGAACGCTTCTGTGCTGGGCTCAGACACACCCTCTGTCTGTAAAAGCGTTTAGCATCCCGGACATTTTGAATGTTGAAGCAGACATCATGTCCAGAGGTGGCCCACATCACTTCTCGTGTCTCCGATTGAGAGAGTTTCGGGGATGCGGCCGTGGATCTGCTTGCGTCTCGCGAGAACACACTGCAGACTGTGGTTCTCTTTCGGCACACACGATTGTCTCCTGTTCGGTAAGGATGCCTTAGCTCACAAATCATGGCTCAGGCTTCTACGTTTTTTCATGGTTCCTTTGATTCTCGCCTCTTGGTATGAATTGGACAGGAGCAGCTATCAGTTATTCTGGTAGCCCCTCAATGCAGCGCAGCTCCTTGGTTTCCAGAACTGCAGCTGTTGGTGACAGCGCATCTGTGGCACCTGTTTTGGAGGGAGGATGTACTCCTGCAAGCAGGCGGAGCCATCAGACACCCACCAATCCTGGATCAACAATTGTGGGTTTGGCTGCTGAACGGTTGCGTTCAGTGTCTCTTGGTCTATCACTCGAGACGATCCAGACCATTCAGAATGCTCGCATTTCATCCACAGTGGTCTCATATTCTTCAACATGGGCCGCGTTTCAGTGCTTATGTGAGGAGTGAAACTTTGATCCCCTCTCCTGCCCAGTAGCCGGCATTCTGTCTTCGTACAGATGCTGACACACAAACGTGTGACTCCGCACTGAAGTCTGGCTGTGGTTCTGCGCGGGATGTCCCGGGCTCCCTTTGAACCTTTGGACCAGGTTCCAATAAAGGTTTTGTCCCTCAAAACTGCACAGATGCTGGATCTGACATTATTTCAGACAGTTAGTGACCTAACTTCTCTTTCTGTCTCGCCATCTTGTCTCAGGATCAGGAATGATGGGGGTTCAGCCGGTTTCTGACCCAACCCAGCGTTCTACCCCAAAGAGCATCACAAGCTCTTTCAGGTCCTGAACCATTTCTCTGGTGGGGTTCTCCTTCCCCTCATGTGTCAGAGCGAGATGCTGCATCCCACCTGCTGTGACCAGTGCGTGCGCTCAGACTCTAGTCTCTTGCACAGCTCAGCTGCGCACTCCACAGTGATTGTTCCATAGGGCAAGCTCTGTCATCTCAGCGCCTTCACATTGGCTGTGTGACGTCATCACAAGTGCCCATGCTTCATCTGGCTCGGACACTCCAGACAGATTAAAAGCACTTGCTAATCAAGCGGTTTCTTCCTCTGTGGTATTGCCAGCTGGAATGTCTGTAGCAGACATATGCATGGCGTCTTCATGGTCTTCTCCATCTCACTTGTGCGCTTTTACCTCAGAGCTGTGTCCACCAGCCTCGCCACTAATGTGGTGCTAAGCCACGGTTCAGCTTAATCACAGCTTTTGCTGAAAGTTCTGATCAGGAACTTTGCAGTTTAGTTTTTGTCGTCCTTGTGTTCTTAAACACCCGCGTTGACATGTCCTTACATTATGTCACATTGTGTCCTCTCGTTTGTGACAGCTTCTCTCCCAGCGGTTGCTAGGTAACCTTGGGGTTGATTCTCATCAGCTATACGCTGATCATATGCTGCCATCGTGTCCTCCAGCTGTTCTCTCATGTTTACGCCCGCCGACAGCTGTAGAGGTTTGTTGGGCTGAAGCCTCTGAGTCCGCTCAGGTTTAGTTCTGAACCAGTGTGGCGTTGACTATATCTGGCTCCGCCTTTAATCCAATAGGCGATGGCTTAAAGGACGGAGCTATACGAAATAGAACGCTGGTATTACGTATTGTAACCCCAGATTCTATGAGTATAGCGTAGTGGCCCAACTGGTTCTGTGGGCTCAATAAGACTTATGGAGATGAGCTATGCCCGCTGGGCCCTTTTGATATATTTATTATTATTTTGATATATATATGAAATTGCATTGCTGCAGTTCTTTTATTTTGAAAATTACCGGGGACTTTACACTGAAGCAGTGTGTGATTTCCTGTCTAGCCCTATGTTAACTGCAGAAATGGATGCATCCCAGAAGCAGCTCCCTGCAAAAGTATATCCCGATCCTATCTTTAGCGGGTTTGAAACACTCCATAGATCATAATGGATTCTATTAGAAGCGGTGACGTTCCGCTGTCGTTACCGGGGTAACACACAAGGGGAACACCAGAGGGTTTTCAAATCCAGTGTGTGTCCTTCCTGAATTTGTTCACCTGGAAGCAGCATGGGGCACACACCCTGAAGCAGAAAGTTTTCCCTGCCTGCACCTAGCAACCATTTATGCATGATTTTGTGATTGGGTGAACTTATGAGTGATTTTGTGACTGGGTGAACTAATTATGTGTTAGTTTGTCATTGGGTGAACTTATGAGTGATTTTGTGATTGAGTGAACTAATTATGTGTTAGTTTGTGATTGGGTGAACTTATGAGTGATTTTGTGATTGAGTGAACTAATTATGAGTTATTTTGTGATTGGGTGAACTTATGAGTGATTTTGTGATTGCGTGAACTAATTATGTGTTAGTTTGTGATTGGGTGAACTTATGAGTGATTTTGTGATTGGGTGAACTAATTATGAGTGATTTTGTGACTGGGTGAAATTATGAGTTATTTTGTGATTGGGTGAACTAATTATGAGTGATTTTGTGATTGGGTGAACTTATGAGTGATTTTGTGATTGCGTGAACTAATTATGTGTTAGTTTGTGATTGGGTGAACTTATGAGTGATTTTGTGATTGGGTGAACTAATTATGAGTGATTTTGTGATTGGGTGAAATTATGAGTTATTTTGTGATTGGGTGAACTAATTATGAGTGATTTTGTGATTGGGTGAACTTATGAGTGATTTTGTGATTGCGTGAACTAATTATGTGTTAGTTTGTGATTGGGTGAACTTATGAGTGATTTTGTGATTGGGTGAACTAATTATGAGTGATTTTGTGACTGGGTGAAATTATGAGTTATTTTGTGATTGGGTGAACTATTTATGAGTGATTTTGTGAGTGGGTGAACTTATGAGTGATTTTGTGATTGAGTGAACTTATGAATGATTTTGTGGTTGGGTGAACTTATGAGTGATGTTGTGATTGGGTGAACTAATTATGAGTTATTTTGTGATTGAGTGAACTAGTTATGAGCTATTTTGTGATTGGGTGAACCAATTATGAGTGATTTTGTGATTGGGTGAACCAATAATGAGTGATTTTGTGATTGGGTGAACCAATTACGAGTGATTTTGTGATTGGGTGAACCAATTATGAGCGATTTTGTGATTGGGTAAGCCTATGAGTTATCAACTAATTGTGAGTTATTTTGTGATTGGGTGAACTT